ATGTAACCATTGCATTCATCACGGGGAGTTGGTACATGTACATAACGTGTCAATTCTTTTTTTAAAACTCCTTTTCTTTTCCTCCCTTGGCCTCTCTCATTTTTATCTTTTCATTATTAAACTTTAAATTTCTTGGACATAAAGGTATTTATGAATCCCTGAGTAAAAGGAAACTTAAGTACAATTGTAGGCATGGGTAAGTCTGGGCTATTTTATGTAATTACATATATAATATGCATTATGTATTATATCATATATATGGGTCCACTTACAAGAGCACTTCATTTTCTTCCTTGAGAACTAGGGTGATGGGATGAAACATTTTAAATTAATTAAACCTATTCAGATTCATCTCTGTTATGTGTGCAGAACTCAGAGGGATGTTGAATTAGTATCAACACGTCCCTAATCAGTTACTACTTACAACTCACAAGGAAAGTAACAGCAGGCAATGGATTAAAAACATTGTCACTATGATTCTCCCAAGAGGTAAGTTACCTAGTTAAAAATAAAACATGCCTCCTTATAACAGGGTGCACTATCTAAACGGCCATGTTTAATTAATGCTGTATAGACAGATTTTGAGCAGAATATAAAGATTTGTCTGCAGCTGTTACTATCTGCAGTACCATCTGCATAAATAACTGCTCATGTGGCATCATGACAAGTTAGAAATCTTTCTTTCCATACATTAATTCACCCCACAATTCATTATAATTTTTCTCTTTCTCCAAGATAAAGTAGCAACTATGTACAAGTAATACGCGTTTATTTGCTATTTAATCAACTTACTGTGAGCATGAGCAATCCTGCCAAATCAGAATAGTATTTTCATGTTTAAAAATCTGTTTTTATTGAGGGAAGCTAAATAAAAAGGTTCATTTCTCATAAACACATTTATTACTACTTCAGCTGATCTAATGAGATCTCAGTTTAAGTAGAATGGAAAGTATCTAAAATACTTGATGTGGTCCTGAGCCTTACTATAATTTTTTGGTAGTTGTTTCATTTCTTTGGTTGGTTTTTGAATTCATCTCTTTAGGAGTCCAATATTTTAATTAAACTAAATTATGTCTTCTACACTAATAAGCAAACTAAATTAAACTAAATTATGTCTTCTACACCAATAGGCAATATTTCATTATACCATACATTTCCCCAAGAGTTACTCAGTCAATACACAGCATATTTAATTGTTCATATTAAAGGACCACATATTGCTTTTGCATTTTATAGTGGTTAGATAAACTTGATATTCAGTTACTCCATTAAAACTGTGTTTTCCAAGAAAGTGTTTTAGTTTCTTTTTGTTTTTATGTTTTTAGTGAGAGAAGCAACAAGACTTTCATTTGTAACAATAAAGCTTGGAGATATTTCTCTATGGGGAAGACTAGAAACTAATGATCTGATTAGAAAGAGACACTGGATGTGGACTTGAAGCTGCGTTTGCAAAGCTTTAAATACAACTGAAATCATTAATGACTTAATTTAAAAAGTCATTTCTGATGGACTTCAGGAAGTTTCACTGCCTTGTGAATGGCTAATTCTACTCACACTCTACCCCTCTAACTATAAAACTTACGCATTCAGATTCCTAACAGTATATAAGGGGGGAAGTTGGATACCTCCTGTTTCTCCTGGAGGAATCTCATCCCTTCCTGGGTCCCTTGGAGAAGTCAGAGAACAGCTTCCTATGTTGCTCAACGTGATGACCCCAGAGACGAGGTCTGCATCCTGCAGAATGACAAACCCACTGTGACAGTGGTGTTCACTAAAGTGCTGTGCAACTGTCCTCCCTCATTTTACCTGCCTGATAAACTCTAGAATAAATGCTACTTCACTGTCTTTTCTCACTTCTTGACTATGCTGATGCATTTGTATTTTTGCTGACTTTGGTTCTGCAGGTGTAAGTCATTATGTAGCCCTCATAGGCTCTGTTTCAGAGTGGCTTCTCATTAGAGAGGCCCAAACAGATGACAAGCAGGCTTCCGTATAAGGGTATAGGATCTGAGGGAAAACTGTTTGCAGATGAATCTTCATATTCTAATTATTTGCTTAATTAGCTTTAAGGATTAGGGGTATAAAACCAGTATTTGGCCACTTACTCAATTCTCTCTGGCACAGATTTAGACAGCAGCTCTCCACTCTTCTCTTTTTAGCTCTTATCCTTGGTCATGAAATCACCCTTCCCAGGGCACCCCACCTCTCTGCTGCCTTTCTAAGTGGAATCTCCAGCCTTCATCGCTCTTCCAAGTAAACGGAAAGAAAACCGAACTCTACACATTGTCCCAGAATCCAGATAACTGTGTGAGTCTTCTCTTCTTCCAGACTTCAAACCATCCTTGCATCCTTTTTTACTGACCATTCCATCCAATTTATTTAAGTACCCGCTGAGTCTTCCCTGTGATCTTTGTTCAGTTGCCTTACATGATCAAGCCAATCACTACCTTGAGAACCTTCAAGCACGCCATGTTTACAAGCTCAAAACAATCCCCCTACTGGTATCTATGGCCATAGTCAAATGATTCTTTTATGCAATCTCTCTGTCATACTCTGGTGGTTATTGTCCTGAAATGTGGCATCTGAAATCCCATTTTCCAGTTCTTATTCCAGTACTTGCTCTTGGAAAGCTGTCTGCTTTTTTTCATCTATTTCATTCCTGTATTTCCTATAAGACACACATTTTATCTCCCGCAGGATGTCTTTCTCCCTGCACTACCAGACAATGCTGGTGTCCTCTAAACTCCCTAAGAACTTGTCTCTTATGGTCTGTTTCCTAGTTTAACTTTTCATATGTTTCTTGCTCTCATCTTTTTGAAATTGTCCACTTTACGAATGATGTGCCTATTTTGTGTGTCTCCTTTTAATGCTCTCTAAATCCCCGTAACATGATTTTGTATCATGAAAGTAAAAAGGTATATTAGAGTTTCATGTTAAGAAAATGGCTCTGACTTCCTTTAATGAGAAATGAATATTTTTCATAATCATTCTGGAAGCTGGGTGATCAAAGAAACAAAATGAATACAAACAAATGAAGCTTGACTACAGAGTAAGAAGCCCACCTAGTCATGACTCATAAGCACACAGCTGTCACTGCCACTAGCGGACATCTAGGCCACTGTCCTGGTATCTCACTGTGACATGGGACACTTGGTGCCTCTGCCCCTGGACACCATACATAATTCTCTGAAACACCCAATGCCCCAGATTCTGTCTTCAATAATTTCTCAGCCTCCTGATATGATGCAATCTTTGGATATTTTGATTGCACGTATTCATTGTTTAAAAATTTTTACACTGGAAGCATGAGAAACAAGAGCAAAATTAGACAAGTGGGGCTGCTTTAAAAAAATGCTTCTGCACAGAAAAGGAAACAATAAAGTCCATAAAGTCAAAAGACAACCTTGCTAATGAGAAAAGATATTTTCAAATTATGAATTTAACATCTAAAAATATAAAGAACCTCTATAACTAAACATTTAATAACAATAATAATAATTCAATAGTCATAATCCAATTTAAAAATGGACAAAGAACTGAAATAGACATTCCTCCAAAGACATACAAATGGCTAAGTAGTATGAAAAAAATGATCAGCGTCAGTAATAATCAGGGAAATGCAAATCAAAGTCAAAACACTGTATCACCTCATACCTGTTCGAATGACTGGTACCAATAAAGTAAAATAAGAGATAATGGTGCTGGAGGTGTCACTACTTTTCTAAACATCAGCGAAACGAGTGCAGAACCTGATGCGGCCAGTGAGTGAATCAGCTTTTCTTAAATTTACCATCTCCCAGATTTTACGTTCCAACTATGGTTATTATTATTTCGAGGGATGTTATCTGTTGTACCACTGGGCACAAAGTTTTGCACATCAGGCCATATTAGCACTGTACTAGCAGAACACAGACAGTATAGTGTGGTTCAGGGCATACACTTAGACTCATTGTCTCTCCGACACGCCTTCTCATTTTTCCTTAGCAAGCATGTGAAGTGGTTGGCGTAACTTTGGTAACTATTATGAGTTTCATAAATTGGCACTGTGTGTTTTGCAAAATATTTTGTCTATTTTTCTACATCTCTATGCCCTAAGAATTAGAGAAGCGATGACATTTGCAAGAAAATGCCCAGATAAATTAGACAGATTTCTTTCCTTTAAACTGTTGCTTTTATGTCACGTTTTTTCTTTTGTATTTAATTTTTGTGTGTGTGCTGGGAACCAAACTCAAGACCTTGCAACTTGCCAGCCATGCACTTGTGCCATGAGCTATATCCCCAGCTGTATGAAATTTCTTATTAAAAATACTTTAAATTTTTCTCTTTAACTTTGGTGTTCACTTTGATGTCACACCTAGCTGTGGCTTTTTTTCTTTTTTACACTAGTTCAATGTTAATATAGTGTATCAATCTGAGAACTTGTGTTATTTGTCTATTTTAGATAGTTTCTTTAATTTTTTGCCACCTGGAGATTTCTCTTTCTTCCATTCCTTCCTATATGCATTTTTGTTTTGTTTTATATCTGTAATATTGTATCAATCATTTCTATGTGGTGCCTGTTGGGGATGGATTTGTTTTTGTGAATATCTCCCAATTGATTTCCAGAGTGATCAACTCCTCTGGTTTTCCCAGGACATTAGCTTTAGGACTGAAAGTCCCAGATCTCAGAAATCCTTTGTTCCTGGACAAACTGGGATGATCTGTCACTCAATAATTTTTATTGTTCCATGTTATGAGGAACTTTTACAATCAAATTTACACTTACGAACTCTTTTAAGTAGCAAAAACGGTGGTAAGCATGTTCCTCAAGTAAAATCTTTCGGGCACTCTTTTTGTCCAGGCTTCCTGGAAAACAAAGTTTGATTCAAAAGCTTATCAGGAAGTAAATGTGAAGGGAAAAAGAAAAGTAAGTCAAAGAAAGAAGAGTAAAAACTTTAGGGAGCGTGCTTCTGCACTATTCACATTCTTCTTTGTAAGAAAAATAGTGTGTTACTGGGTCCCAAATAATATCTCCAAAAGGGCAATTCCTAGAATTCATAAAGAAAGAAACACACAATTTATGAGCTATTTCCTTATCTTTCATTGATTGAGGTCCTCTCGGGGACCATTAAATCCAAGACGGTTCAGACAGCCACTGGAGAAGCGATAGCTTCCGCCGGCCCCATCTGGCTGGTGAGGTCAGTAGTGCTGATGGACATGGCTTGAGTGGATGGGGGAAGTGGTGGCCACAGGAGCAGCAGGCAATGTCAGCATTCTTCTAGACTGGAAACAAGGGAAGTGGTGGAGTGTGGAGAGACTAGATAGGCAAGGCTGAACGGCTCTGGGTGGCATAAAAACTGAGTAAAATATCCCCCCCACCCCGGGATCTTACCACACATCAATACATATATGTTTTATCACTTAACTGTAATGAACAATGTAAAATCTGTCTCTTTGCAGCCAAATAATAACCTGCAAAAGGTAGGCTTTTACATGTTTCTTTATAGACTGTTGGCAGAAGGTTACTAAACAGTGTGATCACAGCAGGCTGGTGGAAAACGTAGCTCTATGCAGATATTCTGTAATTATAAATCTCATTGCAATGTATGACTTTCTAGCAAAAAGAAGGAGAGAATAAGACAGTATTTTTACCTGGTAGTCTGTGGTCATTTCCATTTCTCAGGCATAAGCAAGTTCATTTATCTCAGCATCTAGAGCCACAATTTGGTAATTTCGGTTCAGCTGTCCCTTACTTTCTTCATTTATTTACCCACTCCATTTATTGACTTTCTACTCCATGCCAGATACTTTGTTGAAGAGCAGTAATGATTGAATAGCTTTGTGTCTTGACTCTCCCCTAAAGAGACTCAAAATATAACCAGGAAAGGAGACAAGAAATAAATACATAAGACAGAATCTCTTATTCTATTTCCAGAACAGAGGACAGTTTTACTTTGTTTAAATTGTGTTTAACACTCTCAACATCTCTCCATATTTCAGTACGAAAAGTTACTTCTCTTACTTCTGGTTGAAGAAAACAGTATGTACATTTCCCTTAAATACAAATCTTCTTTTAGCATTGACCTCATTGATCTCAGACTGAGGAAGTGGCAGGGCAGGTGAGATAAAGCATTTTCTGGGTCCACCAGATAATCACCTCTGTCAGATGCAAAGTTGATCCTGTGGTTAAAAATCAGCATCAGAGAATCAGAGAATCGGAATCAGTCAAGGCCAAGATATAAAGAAAAGAGCCGTGGGAGCCTCACTATTTAGCATTAGTTCAGTGATTAAAGCATGATCAATGGTTTGGTGATTATTTTTGATCTGTCCTTGTCTTTTACTATTAGTTATGTAAAAGGTTGTTGGGTGGCATGTTATTTTTCCCAATTCTAATTATAGTACCACCTCACTTTAAATTTTGTGGAAATTTCTCTATTAATTATTCTCTTAAGCCATGCTGAAGTTAATCTTTGTCTTTCAAAAACTATAGCACTGATGGCTCATCTTTGCATATTGAACTTCTATCGAGACAGAAACTGAACTCCAAATCATAAGCAAAATCCCTGAAACTTGTACTGTTTTGAGGAGCTAAAATAACAGTAACAGTTTGAATGTATTCAAAGATACATAACATGCTTAGGTGTCAATGGTTAATTCTGACACATACGCATGGAGTTAAAGAAAACATTTCTAGGTCCAAGTCAAGGTGATCTGCGGCTTTGCACAAAATGGGAGCGGGGAAGCATTTATAGAATTACAGTATTTTCACCTGGGAGGGCCGGTGTTGTCTCCATCCATCTGTAGATTTTCAGTTTAGAATTGTGTCAGTTCATCTTGATAGTCAATTTGACCAGACTGAGCAACACCTGGTGAGGTGGTACAGTTGTAGGGGTACTCGCTTCACCCACAGGTTAATCCATACCTCAATGGGCAATGAGGACCAGGGCCTGAGTTGGAGGACGTGGGTCATGGAGTTACGACCTTGGAAACTGTATCTGGTCCTTGACGCCTTCCTCTTTGACTCCTTTTCTTCTCTCTGCTTCCAGCTGTCAGGAGGTGAGCAGCTTGCATCTTCCTGTTCCTCTGCCACGTTTCTGCCTTTGAGCCAGATGACTATGGACTGAACCTCTGAAGCTATAAGCCAAAATGAACCATTTCAGGATATTTGGTCCCAGGAACAGGAAAGCGGATCAATACAAATATTTTCATTAATTTCAGCCTCACTGCAGTGATTTGTCTCTATTAAACTGTTTGCATAATTTACCCAATTCAGGTCTCTAACCAACCATATGTTGCAAAGGGGGAAAAAGTAAAGAACGAAAGAAGTCCACAAAATTTCCACGGATAGATTTCAGTTGAAATGAGTGAGAATGTTACAGCCAGGGTCCTGTATTGTACTCTGAGAGTACTATTGTGCATCTTGGATGCCACCCTTGGCACTCTTACGTTACCAGTTGACAGTGCTTCTGTTTCCTAGGGATGCATAAAAAAATGACTGCCTACCAGTAGTTTAAACCAGCAGAACTAAAAGATGTGGTATTTTTATACAATGGAGTATTACTCACCTAAGATAAAAGATAAACTTGAGACTTTTGTAGGAAAATAGATGCAACTAGAGACCATACTAATAAGTGAAATAAATCAGACCCGCATGTGTAAATACCATACTGTCTTCCTAGTGGAAGAACCTGACAAAGTAAATAAAAACCAAAAGGTACAATAGATATTGTGAAAGGGAAAGGAACTGCTCCAGGGGAAGGAACACCTGGGATGAGGGAAAGGAGAAAAGAAAGAAGGAAGGGAAAATGCATATGGATATACAAGGATAGCTGGGATAATTATACAGCTGATGTCTATTGGTTTATTGAAAGGAACAGTTAATGCTTAAATTTTTCTTTTTCTGGCCAGTTTTGCATAATTATATCTGGTAATCTGAACAACTAACTTGAAGACAATATGCAATATAGCAACCATTGTTGAATCCCGACTATCTTGATTAGTGAAACTCTGTATCACTTCTAATGTTTTTAATTTTTTTTTCTCTTTAATTGTTTGATCAATCTTGTATTCTTACATCTGGTAATTTGAGCGCCTTCTTTGAAGATAACAATATGTACTATAACAGCTATTGTTAACCTCCTATCACCTTGTTTTAACATTCTGTATCATTTTTATTGTTTTTGTGTTTTGTTTTTGTCTTGGTTGTTATTTTGTTTTCTTTTCTCTTTAAAATAAAAACAAAAAACAAAAACAACAGAACTATGTGCTTTCACAAGTCTGGAGGTCAGATCTCCAAAATCAAATTGTTGTTAGGGGTAGGCTTTTTCTAAAGGCACATAGGGAAGATTTTTTTTGGTCTCCTTCTAGTTTGTGTAGTTGCCAGTAATCATTGGTGTTCATTTGCTTGCAGGAATCCTATGTGACTCACTCAATCTCTTCCTGTCCTCCTGCGGCAGTACTCACTGAATTTCCCTTTTTTAGGAAAATCAGTCATTATGTTAGGACCCATCATAATCCATTGTGCTTTCATTGGAAACCTCCAAAGAAGGTTTCCCAGTATGATCCCATTTTGAGGCTTTGAGTGAACATGAATATTTAGGAAACACTGTAACCCAATGCATCTGAGAAATATTAGTGGGGAATTATGTCAAATCTTTTAGTATTATTAAAATGGCATTCCTCCAAGAGAGGTGAATATTAATTCTAATTTCTTATTTGGGATAAGTTATCCCTTTTGTTTGAGAAGGCATTTTCTTTCCTGCATCAAAAACAAAGATAAATGTCATGAGCTTTTTTTTCTAAAGTGCCACAGTTAGAATGACAAAGCACAGCGCTGACCAGATCATTCTTTTCTGTGTGATCATCCCTGCTAAATGCCTATTAGTATAATGGAATACAAAAAGTTCCCTGACTGCCTTTGTAAATGCCTGATAGAAATTCAAATCAGAGCACTGTAGAGAATTACACAAATTGAAAACAGGAAAAATTTTCCAAAAAATTCAGGCATGACTTTGGAAATGAATAAATGGTGCTCCCTGGAAAACTGAGTCATGTATTAACATTATATTGCTTCATAGGATGAAAAAAAGAAACATCAGATATGAAGTTACACAGATTTCTTCATATCTAGCACATTTTCTGACCAAACTCAATTGGCTGCTGGTTTTTAAAAATTAAATTTAAATCAGCAGGTTTAAATAGTTTGGCTTTTCAAAATGGGTAAAGAATAGGAGATATCTCTATATCTTGAAAAATTCAGGACTTTAAGATCAGACCCACATCTAAAGAAGACAGTCTTATTGCCCCCACCCTCCCACATCCATATCTCTGCCTCCCCCCAACACTGCCTCTGGCAGACCCCTCCAACTATTCCTTCAGCTCCAGAAAGCTAGGTACATGCTTCTGTTGCTGATCCTCCTTCCGACTTCTGTGATCCTCCTTCCGTCTGTGAAGATTTTAGTAAGTCTTATACTAAGCAGTGAAAGCAGTGTTGTATGTGATTATTGCAGGCTTTGGAGTCAGACAGACAGAATTACAAATTTTATTTGTGACTTTGGGTTGCTTATTGGTTCTGGGCCAGAAGTTTATGTGTAAAATGAGGATATTAATAGTACTCCCCTCAAAAATTTTATGATGGTTAAATGAACAAAAATAAAGTGTTTATGACAGCCTCTGACCCCAAGAATGGTTCTGTTAACCTGTGCAATGTTGATACATAACAGAATAAGTATCTGTATTCAAGCTAGACCCTGGAGCCTCCTCATATACTGAACATAAACATAATTTTAATAGAATAATAATCCAGCCCTCATGACTGACAGATTAAGCTCAGTGGAATAGGACTCGTGAACATAGACAGTGTTTAACTAAATTTCAAGCTTAATGTTATCTGACAATAAAATACAGTCATTCAAATAACTTTCTCCAAGTTGATAAACAAGAGAAAAAGGCGGAGACACCAACCAAGAAACTAAAATTGTGAAGTTTGGTATGGACGACAGCAGTCTTCCTCTAATATAGGGAATTGAATCTTTTGAGCTTACTTTTTCTGCTCTCCCTCACTCTATCCTACTTTCTCTACTAATTCTGTTGGTATTTTCCCAGCCCTGGAGGAGCTGAAGGGAGGGGAGGAGAATGTGAAAAAAGAAGAAGCAAGATATATCATGTACAGGTACAAATTCCATATGATGAATGTTATCATTATGTTTATCTAAAGTGTACCAATAAAGTAAAACATTTAAAAATAAAAAATAAATAAATAAAGTCACTGGGGAATTTGCCACTTGACCTGGCCAGGAAGGAATCCCAGGACTGACCAGACAAGCACACCCTGGGGTCTCTTCAGCATAGTGCAACAGAGGTGACAACCAACCCACCCTCTTGACTGAAAAAGAGACTAACACTCCATAGAAAAGTTTTGCTGCAGGACTGAAGTGGTATCCTACTACTGAGACCAGGTGAAAGAATCCTTCAGTCATAGGCTGGGAGAGGGGAAGTGTTAAGCAGGGAAAATGGAATGAGACCAGGAAGTTCACAGGGCCTGTGTTCTGCTGAGGGAGGCCAGACTTGCAGAGTGAAATCATCAGAAGTAGTAGTCCTGAATAAGAAGGCAGCTTAGTGGTATCTTTGACCTGCAGCTGCCTGAATGCACTCAGCAAATATAGTGGTCTCCAGTATTACAGGCTAATATACAGGTGGTCTGTCTGCCCTAAAATCTTAATCTTAGTTCTGGCTAAGTGATGTACAGCAGTGACTCCTAGGGTTTTGTAATACCCAGTTATCATTTGATGCTATTGATGACACTGAATTTGCTACTGTAGCTGAGATAACATAACTACATATAACAACTAGTTTTCTCTCTATGCCAATATCTCAAATTCCAGGGAATCATAATCAATAAAATGGATATACTGCATGTACACACAGAGTCAAGGGGAAGCAAGGCAAAGAAGACCACTGGGGTCTCCTAACTTTCCTAAGACAAGCATGAGGGCACAAATGGAGAGGAAAGGAAATTCTCGGTAACAGAACTCTACAAAAATTTTATAGAAGGGATGAAGAAACTAGATGAGCTTAAAGAAGAAATGAGTTAAAAAATTCATAGCATTATCACTCAATATGCCCCAGGTGAATTTGGAGGAAATTAGTTAAAAATTGGATGGTTCAACACATGAATGACAGATTCAAAAGGATAAAGACACTTTAAAAAGATATCAGCCAGAAATGCCTGAAATTTAAATAAAACTGTATAGAATTCATAAATTGCAGAAATTGCTAGTGCAAATACACTGTCTGAAATTGAGGACAAAATGGTGAATGATGAAGAAATATTCAAAGAAGCTATGAAAAAATATAAGAACAAAAAAGACCACCTAGCTGCTACTACACAAAACCAAGAAGACCAACCTAAGGGTAATTGGACTTATAGAAGTGCTAGAAGATAAACAGATGGATTTTTTTTTTTTTTTTTTTTTTTTTTTTTTTTTTTTTGGTTTTTCTCCGGTACCAGGAACCGAACTCACAACCTTGCGCTTGCCAGGCAGGCGCTTTTGCCGCTGAGCTAAATCCCCAGCCCCAAACAGATGGAATTTTAATGTTTGCAGAAATTGTAGCAGAAAACTTCCCAAATTTGAGAAAAAAGTTCAACAATAAGAAAGCAAGGCTTACAGAACACCAAATAGCTGTGATGTAAAAGAGGCTCACCAAGACTTACCCTTTTTAAATTGCTAGATATATAAAAATGAGAATTTCTAAAGCAATCAGAGAAAAAAAAATTACATACAATGGTAAACCCATTCAAATTATAGCAGACTACTCAACACAAACCTTAAAGGCCTGAAGAACTTGGAGTGAAATATTTTAAACCATAAGAGCAAATAATTTCCAATGTTGACTAACCTAGGTAGGAAAGCTTTCTTTCAAAAGAGATGGAGAAATAAGATTATTTCATGAAAAAGATCAGCTGAGAAATTTATGACTATAAAACTAGCATTCCAGAAATTACTCAAAAATATCCTAGACAAAAACAACGAAACTAATACAGCTAAAGGCCCAAATGAAACGAAAACACCA